ACACAGATTTTGCAAAGGCGTTTGACAAATGCGATCATGGAGTGATAGCGTACAAAATGAAGGCCATGGGCATTACGGGGAAGGTAAGCAGATGGATTTTCGGGTTCCTAACACAGAACACAAAAAGTAGTAGTGAACAGGGCAAGATCTATCATCAGCGAGGTCAAAAGCTCAGTGCCCTAAGGCACTGTCCTGGCACCACTGCTGTTTCTCATCCTCATAGCAGACACAGATAAAAACACATGGCACACTTTTATATTATCATTTGCAGATGACACTAAAATAAGCATGAAAGTCACTATGGTAGAAGACATGGAAAAGGTACAGGAAGACATAAGCAGGGTTTTCCAGTGGGCACTGGAGAACAACATGACATTCAGTGGTATTAAGTTCCAGCTGCTTAGGTATGGAAAGAATGAAGAACTCAAAAGGAAAACTATATACAAAACTCAAGAGGGTCACCAAATAGAGCGTAAGGAACATGTAAAAGACTTGGGAACAATTATGTCAGTGGACCTTTCTTTTAAAGACCATAACAAGACAAAGATCACAACAGCCAGGAAGATGTGATGAATGGTTTTGAAAACCAAAAAGTTGAAGAATTGAGACACTTATGCAACATATGGGAATCTTTATTGAAGAAACGTTTTGCCATGCAGTGGCTTCATCAGTCTTATACAAAGCAGGAAGGTATAAGGAGAGGAGGAGTTTGAGGTAATCAGTCCCTCAGCCTGGAGTCAATGTGTTCAGTCCATCAATCTTGTAGAAAGTACAGCACAGGGCCGTAGCAGTGTCTTATATACTGTACTCAGGTGAGGCGAAGCAAGAGGCAGTGGGGTCATAGTGGAACCATCGACTAGTCTAAGTAGGTCTTCGTCCAAAGATGGACAAGTTTTGAAGAATTCTTTGTATCAAGATCCCATGATGATGCAGTGTCTGACAGATGTGATGAATGGTTTTCAAAACTGATAAGTTGAAGAATTAAGACACTTTTGTAATATATGGGAATCTTTAGTGGATGGTTCCACTATGACCTTGCCGCCTCCTGCTTCGCCTCACCTGATTACAGTATATAAACCACTGCTATGGCCCTGTGCTGTACTTTCTACAAGATTGATGGACTGAACACATCGACTACAGGCTGAGGGACTGATTACCTCAAACTCTTCCTCTCCTTATACCATCCTGCTTTGTATAAGACTGATGAAGTCACTGTGTGGCAAAACGTTTCTTCAATAAATATTCCCATATGTTGCATAAATGTTTAAATTCTTCAGCCAGGAAGATGACAGGGTGGGTATTGAGAACTGTCAAAACAAGGGAAATAATGCCGGTGGTGACACTTTTCAAATCACTAGTGCTCCCTCACTTAGAATATTGCTCAGTGCTTGTGGCCCCGTTCAAAACAGGAGAAATATTGGGGCTGGAACAAATACAGAGATTGTTTACAGCTCACATTGAGCCAGTAAAGCACCTAAACTATTGGGAATGCCTTCAAGTCTTGAACATGTACTCATTGGAGCAGAGGAGAGAGAGATACATGATAATATATACATGTACTTGGAAAGTACTCAAGGGCCTGGCCCCAAATCTGCACACTGCCATAACAACATACTGGAATGAGAGATATGGGAGGAAGTGCAAAATAAACTCAGTGAGGAGCAGGGGTGCAGTGGGGACAATAAGGGAACACTGTATCAACATCTGGGGTCCCAGACTATTCAACGTCTTACCAGAAGATATCAGAAACATGGCTGGAACAAGTGTAGAAGCCTTCAAGAGAAAACTGGACAAGTATCTTCACCAGGTGTCAGATTAACCAGGCTGTGATGGATATGTGGGGCAGTGGGTCACCAGAAGCAACAGCCTGGTTGACCTGGCAAGCAGCAGATGAGCCTGGCCCATGGCTGGGCTCAAAGAATAGATAAACTCTCAAAACTATGCAAAGGTGTATCAAAGGTACCTAACCTCTGTGAGTGCCTGCATCGAATCTAGGCATATGCTTACGATTTCCATGCACTGTGCCACACTTCTGTTATGTTCACTTGCAAGAAATCACTGAGTAAGGGGCTTGTGTACCAGTTATCAGTATATAATATATGCCTCTTACCAAGGCATGGTTCCATCATTGTTCTAACCACATCACCAGAGATACCCAATAACTTCCTGGTATCTCTCAATGTATTACTGCCAGTGTACACAATTATATCCAAAACCAGACCACTTTTGCAATCACACAGTACGAATAACATTATACCAAAGCGTTTCCTCTTGCTTGGTATATACTGCTTGAACGACAGTCTGCCTTTGAACAAAATCAAAGACTCATCAATAACAGGCTTCCTGAAGGGATAAAATACATACAGCACTTTTGTTTCAGGTACATAAACACATTCCTGATCTTATATAACCTGTCGTTTCTATCAGGCCTTTTTTGTCTGAGAAGTGTACCATATGTAACAGTAGCAGAAATCAGTTCACTGGTATAATATCACTAAAACCTGGGGTTGAAATCGGGCAGTCTGTCGACCAGTATGTGGTGATAGCATGCTTATACACATGTGGCATAAGCATTATTGTGGCAAAGAACAGTACAGCTCTGTCACAGTTGTGTCCTTACACTGGTGTAGCCATGACCTTGGTGAAAGAATTGTGTTTGCCATGGTGTACTCGTAGTATGTGTTGCTTTCCCTGACAATAATTTCCATCAGGGGTTCATCGAAGAATAACTGAAAGCATTTCAGTTCAGTGGCATTGTTCCCAAGTGTACACGATGGCCGTATTCCACTTTGTGTTTCATCAAAGTCATGGGGACTGGGAACAAAATTCGCACCTTCCTGGCAATCCCAGATGCGGTCTGCTGGTTGGTATTGGATATTGACAGGTGGTTGTGGTTGTGCAGGTTGTGGGAGTGTGGGGGTGGTTGAGGCTGGTTGTGGCTGTGCTGAGTTACCAGCGTGGTTAGGAGCGTGGCTCGCTGCTGGTGCCACATGATTCGTGCCACCACCACCACCACCTGCTTCCCCACGCACTTTACACATCCCCATTGTAACAATATCATCATGTTCACTATCAGTTCATGGTGTAGGGCCACGAAGATTTACTCCTTTTCCTTGGAATAACATATGGCACACAACCAGAACGCATGCTGCTTCGTACATACTGCCGCTTCACTGGAGAATTTTCCCCCTCACTGTCACAACTCGAACTGCTTTCAATAGCTTGGAAATCACTATCACTATTACTTTCACTGCTCACATCCGAATCCTGTACGTGGGGAATTAGTTTCCTCTTTTATCCTGGTACAGGTGAACGTGAATGAGACGGACCAGCCCCAGAGGTGAAAGGTTGTGGGTCATCTGGGTTTTCATCACTAATTATGTTATCCTGGGCACTGCTTTCGGTCACACCCTCCTGAAAACCATGGAATTCACTTTCACTGGCACTTCCATCACTGTTAGAACTATAACTTGAGAACAGCTTTCTCCCGCTTGATTTGAAGTCACTAGAATTTACGTATGTTAATACGTCAAAAACATTGGCTCGTAATTGTATATATACGACCAAAACAATCAAAAGGTTAAGATTGCTGGTTTTTTCTTTGTCTAATTAAGTTGTAATGTTATGTAAATGGATATTTGCAACTTATTGAAGCATTAAGGCATATTTCACCACCAGGGACTGTTAAGTTATGTATATGGCCATTTACCTAACTATTGATAGTATTACAACCAATAATTATACAAATATGCAAGATTCCAGGTAAATCTTACAAACTTCTATTTACATTCAGTATACATTTACCTTTATGTTTTTCCCTGTTTTTAATAATTCTTTTTCCTATAATTTGGTATATCCTTTCCAGTTTAGTTAGCCTCATCAAACACCGTGCTGCAAGGATGATGATCCTTGGAAACATTAACAAATAAAACATAAATTCAAATGTTTATTTCCTTGTAAAGCTTACAGTGTGCATTTTTTTTCCCATCATTGCTTCTATATCCTTTCTAAACCCAAATTTTTTCCAACTTGAACTCATTGCTATGAGTCCTGTCTTGTTAGATTTTTTAGCACATTATTTACATCCCTTTATTCCTGTTTTCCATTTATACATCTCAGTCATATTCCTCCTAATTCAGCATCTTTCTAGAGAGTGCAGATTCAGTGCTCAATCTGTACTCTTAGAAAAGATTTCTGATACATGGGATCAACTTTGTCATCTTTCTCTGTATGTTTTCCAGCTCATTTATGTCCATTCTGAAATACAGGGTTAGACAGGTACCAGTGCAGGAGTACTCCTTGGGAAATCAACAATTTGTGACATTAAAAATACAGTGGACCCCCGGTTAACGATATTTTTTCACTCCAGAAGTATGTTCAGGTGCCAGTACTGACCGAATTTGTTCCCATAAGAAATATTGTGAAGTAGATTAGTCCATTTCAGACCCCCAAACATACACGTACAAACGCACTTACATAAATACACTTACATAATTGGTCGCATTCGGAGGTAATCGTTATGCGGGAGTCCACTGTATTTGGTAAACATCAATAAATTTAGCATAAACATTGAACTTGATAGCGTTAAGAAGTACAAAGGTATTCCAACTGATCTGAATAGGTAAATATGTTTTCAGGTCACAGTGGCCTGATTGTGAAATATTTTCTTTGAAATATCCATCAGGTTTTCATATACAGTATATAGATCCTCTTGAACAGTTACAGGCAGACTGAATAAATGGTGGTTAGGTAAGACACATGTGCAACACTTAGGTATCTTTATTTCGAAACGTCTCGCCTACAAAGTAGGCTTCTTCACTCGAGTGCAGAAAAGTTGGTAGAAGCAGATGTGAAGACAATGTAATCAGTGTAAATGGTGTTTCCCTTTAGAGTATATTGTACTTCTTGTTGTATATTATAATTTCTCCAGATTCCAGGTGCAATTAATCTCATGAGTGGATGTAACAAATCCCTATGTTTTTTGTGTTATTTTCCTCCAGGGAGCAACAACGGGTTTTGCCTACGACAATGTGATGCTGAAACACCAATGTATCTGCGGTGATAACTCTCACCATCCTGAACATGGAGGTCGCCTACAGTCAATAATGGCCAGATTGCAAGAGACAGGGTTAATTCATCGCTGCCATAGACTAAGGACAAGAAAAGCTTCTTTAGAAGAAATTCAGTCATGCCACAGTGAGGCACACACACTCTTGTTTGGTAGGTTATATACCACTCTGTACTTATTTGACTTCATTTGGATGTCTCATTTGTTTATCACTGTAGAAAAAAGTGTTGCTCTATGTTCGTAATTCTCATTAATCATCCAAGTAAGGAAATTAGATTAAAGCCAATAATAACCCAACAAAAAGCGGCAGTAAGAATAATCACTAAATCCCATCCCTGGCAACACCCCCCCCCCACTCTTCACAGATCTAAACTTACTCCCTGTTCAGTACATCCACACTTACTACTGTGCAATCTACATCTACAGGACCTTAAATTCCAATATTAACCTTGACCTAAAATGCTTTCTTGATAGTTGTGACAGAACCCACAGGCATAACACCAGACACAAACATCTCTATGACATTCCCTGTGTCCGACTAAACTTTTACAAAAATTCAATATATGTCAAAGGCCCTAAAATCTGGAACACCCTACCTGAAAACTCTAGAACTGCAGACACATTCATCACCTTCAAAACTACCATTAGAAAACATCTTATCTCCCTGATACAACCCGTCAACTAATTACACGAATACCACCTGGTGGTTCACACTTACACTCACTCACCCATTTGACCATAAACAGAAATATCAATCTCAATCTCAAAATAATGAATCCTAACTAGTCATAAGTTGGCCTGTGATACTCCAGTACTGAAACTATGTATTGTGCCAAAACAAAAGCATTCACATTGCTAAACTCACAAACTAGTATTTAGTCACTTAGCCATAATACCAACTTACCTCATAATTTGCAATATTTTAAATTTAAGAATTAATCTAAGTCTGCCCGAAATGCCTAGCCATGCTAGGCGTTCTAGTGGCACCTTCTGTAATTAGTACTTTACTACATGTAAACCACACAATAACCAAATTCTGTAAACTCAGCATTGTAATCCCTATAGAGAATAACCTTTGAATTTGAATTTGAAAAGAAGTGGCCTGTAACATAAAGTGTACATCAACATTTTCAACCCATGAGCATTCCTCTACCCCAAATGGGGTATATTTCTAGGCCTAGTTTAAGCATTTACAGACCCTAATTAATGCACAGAAAATTCTCAAGATTGCTGCGAGCCAATAAAGCAGTTCTTTGCCATCCTTAAGTAATAAATCAAATGAAATGATGCATTGAGATGTGAAGTAGTGTAATTCTAGGTCTGGAAGAGTGTTTCCCAATTGTTCACAATTGCTTGTAAATATAAATAATGACTGGGTTCATTTTAAAAAATTCATAAAATAACTTATTAAAGGTATGGTGAAAGTTCTTCTTTTTCAACAAACTGGCCGTATCCCACCGAAGGAGAGTGGCCCAAAAAGAAAAACAAAGTTTCTCTTTTTAACTTTAATAATGTATACAAGAGAAGGGGTTACTATACCCTTGCTCCCAGCATTTTAGTCGCCTCTTACAAGACACGTGGCCTACAGAGGAAGAATTTTGTTCAACACACCCATGGAGATGAGAGGGAATAAACAAAAAGAAGAACTTGTAAGGAATGAGAAGAAAGCCCAGAGGGGTATGGATATAGTATACACTTGTACATGCAAGCGTGGTGACACCTAAGTGTAAGCAGAAGTAGCAAAATGGTAGGTACCTGAAATCTTGCATGTTTATGAGACAGAAAAAAGACACCAGCAATCCTACCATCGTGTAAAACAATTACAGGCTTCCGTTTCACAGAAAAAAGACACCAGCAATCCTACCATCGTGTAAAACAATTACAGGCTTCCGTTTCACACTCACTTGGCAGGATGGTAGTACCTCCCTGGGCAGCTGCTGTTTACCAACCTACTACCTAGAACAATTCAAATTATTCCCCAAAATTCGTTTACATATATGACTCATGATTCACTGTTATGGTGTTTACATCCTCCGTGATCTCTGCATCTCTCGATTATGTCTGGAAATTTTACAGTGTTTCAAGTGTTTTCAAGTTATTGCATATTTTATTTATATTCTTTTTGTATTACAATGACATCTAAGGGTAGCTTTGATAAAAAGAGAACTTGTAAGGCTCTTATTTTCAGTGCAAAGTTAGAAATGATTAAACGAGGTGGGCAAGGTACGTATGTCTGTGGCTGAGATAGTACTGAGATACTACTGACAGTTGTACTTGTGTGTACCTGTACCTAAATAAACTTACTGTGCTAAGAGTGTCTCACTAGTGTTGATGACACAATAAGCATAATAATGATAATCACTCTGGGGCACATTAATTGTCATATATTATGTTGTTATAAACATTTTCATTAATCCATCTATAACTTTTCAAAATTATATAAGAAACACACTACATAACACATAAAAGAAATGCAAATTAACACAGTTGTGAGGTGTGGTAGTCGGGCAGGCACAAAGGAGTTTATGACAATAGTTACTGTAACATATTTTTTTTCTAGTAAGTAAGTTTATTCAGGTATACACAAATACAGTTATATAGAATTATCATACATAGCAGCATATGTGTAAAGTACCTAGGATAACCCAAAAAAGTCAGACAGAGTGACTTATTTCCATTGGGGTCCTTTTACCTTATTATTATAAAATAAAGGTGATAATATCTTCTTATTGTGCAAGGGGCTAGTAACCTCTTCTCCTGTATATATTACTAAATGTAAAAGGAGAAACTTTCGTTTTTCCTTTTGGGCCACCCCGCCTTGGTGGGATACGGCCGGTGTGTTGAAAGAAGAAAGATCTTCTTATTATTCTATAATGGAGATAACATCTTATTATCATACTAAAAAGACTATTTACTTCACGAGGGTCATTAAGACTATCTACAATACGAGGGTCATTACTAGGAATAAGGTAAAATTACACGTGTGTTAGCTAAAACAATAAAACATCATTCCCCTCCCTTTCTGTAGCTACATTCATCAGACACCTTTTGGCAGTCTTCTTGAACTGGTTCATGCTATGACTGGCTTTGACATGTGCGGGCAATCTGTTCCATTCTTTTTTTGCTGTACAATAAAAGGTGTTTGAAGCCTGGCCACTGACTGTGGGTACTACAAAGTTGTGCTCTCTCCCCCTAGTACTATGATTACTTTAGTTCCCAACCTTGACAAAATTGGCAGCAAGATATTCTGGACACTGTTTGTGAGCAATTTTAAATACATGATATAACTTCAGTTGTTTTACTCTGTCTTCAACATTCAGCATATCCAAATGCTGTAATTCATCCTGGCCTTCATGTTCTCTTGGACCTAGGTCCAGGATGAATCTTATCATTTTGTTCTGGGTGATTTGTAGTCTTATCTTTCAGTTTTTTGTCAAGGCAGAGTACCATGAAGAGCAAGCGTAATCCATATGGCATTGTATAAGGGCTAGACATAGGGTCCTGCGAGCCTCAGTAGGTAGACACTGTGCTTGTCTATAGCAGAATTTCAGTCTGGCATTTACTTTCTTTACTACATTGTTCCCTATCAATTCTCCTGACATGCATGGGTCAAAGGGGATTTCCAGATATTTTACTGAGAAAACTGAAGTGATGGGCTCCCCATTACACTGGACATTAAAATTATATTTACATTACTCAGTTTATGTTTCGTGCCAAAGAGAATGGCTTCAGTTTTCCCGAGGTGTAATGATAGTTTGTTGTCTACTAACCATTTGCTGCAGGACTCCAGTTCCAGTGTTAATACATTAGTATAGCATTACTGGGAGGTAACTAGAAAAACATTCCTTTCATTTGCCTTCACTCATAAATAGTGTCACTCTCAAAAGGGTATGTTGCATGACAATGGGAATGTTGCTGTTATGTATTCTACTGCACCAACATGAAGACAACTTGTACATAATGTAAAGTGTTTATACTGTGGGAAAAATGCTTCACAATCATATGCATAATGCCAGCTGAACACACAAAAGCATCCAGTAGACAGGTATGAAATACATATCCATCTGACCGCCCACCCAAAATACTGACACCACACATACATTTATGGAGCACACCCAAGGGTGTTTAATAATAATAATAATAATAATAATAATAATTATAATAATTATAATTTTATAATAATAATACAATGGACCCCCGCCTTACAAACGCATCGCCTTATGGTAATTCTGCCGTACGAAGCATTTGAATGCAAAAATTTTGCCTCGCCTCACGATAAAAAACTTGCCTTACGTGATTCGTCCAGGACACGTCCCACGCATGGCTTCAGCTGCCCCGTGGGTGCCATTGTTTACAAGCCAGCCAGTGCAGTCACATCTAAGCATGCATTCGGTACATTTCATATTATCACAGTGTTTTTAGTGCTTGTAGCTGCAAAGTAAGTCACCATGGGCCCCAAGAAAGCTTCTAGTGCTAACCCTGTGGTAAAAAGGGTGAAAATTACTATGGAAATGAAGAAAGAGATAATTACTAAGTACGAGAGTGGAGTGCGTGTCTCGGAGCTGGCCAGGTTGTATACCAAACCCCAATCAACCATCGCTACTATCTTGGCCAACAAAATGGCCTTACGATAATTTTGGCTTACGCTGAGCTCTCAGGAACGGATTAATATCGTAAGACGGGGGTCCACTGTAGTAATATTTTTATATAGCCGAACTTAAGTACTGGAAATGGGAAGTACAATGCCTACACTTTAAAGGAGGGGTTTGGGATATTGGCAGTTTAGAAGGATATGTTATACAGTGAAACCGCGGCTTACGAACGCCCCACCATGCGAATTTTTCAGGATATGATCTGTCATTCGGTCGATTTTTTGCTTCTGGATATGAATGAAATTTCAGGATGCGAACTTCCCCCTCAAGGGAGGTTCCTTAAATAAATAAATAAATAAAATATTTATTTCTCTGCAAAGGTTACAATGTGTGTTTACATATCATAATATGATTGGAGTGAAGAAAGCCTCTATCATGCTGAGGCATTTCGGGCAGACTTAACCTAATAGACTACTTAAGTCTAGACAGGTGAAAAGTGTACAAGTAGTGGTTACCAATGTTTTGCTGATGGTGGTGCCAACTACTGGCAGCCTTTTCAA